GGGGGGGGGCGAAAGGGGGGCAGGAGATGATGGGGAGGGTGGGGGAGGCGGGGAGGGTTCGGGGGGTCGATGGGGGTCCAGGGAGGGGAAGAGATGGATAAGGGGAGGGGCCCCATCAAGCCCCCCTGTTATTAGAGTCAAAGGGGGTCCCCCTCAGCCCCCCAACTATCACAGCGAGGGATTTTGGCTGGAGGGGGACGGCCCCGTGACATACCCCCCCCCAAGCCAGCTGCCCCCCCACCCTGGGGCAGCTCAAAGACACTGCCCCCTGGGGGCTAAGGCCCCATGCCCCATTCCCGCAGGAGTTGGAGGGCGGGCGGGGGGGGGTGAGCAGGAGGGAGGGGCTCAGAGGGTTGGTGGGAGCAGGAGGGGGCTCAGCCAGTGACTCTCTGAGCATCTTCTTGCTTCTCTCAGTGGCGCTCAGCCCCACCAGAGACCGGAGCCGGCGCCGGGGCTGGCTGGGAGAGTCGGGGCTGGGGGGGCAGAAGGCGAGAAGGGGGCAGCCCCCAGGGAGAACCGAACGGCCCCCTCCGCCCCCGCAGCACTGGGGGTGCGACCGCGGCCGATTCTTCACACACCTGGACCCCGAACCAAGTAAGTGTCCTGGGGGGCCCAGCCGGAGGCGCTGTCTGACCCCTATGTGGAGACAGAGACCCCCCCAGCCCAACCCTGGGGTCCCCCCACAGCTCTGCCGGTGCCCCTCACTCCCAACCCGCAGCCCCCTGCTAGCCCAGTCCTGGGCTCACCCCACACAGCTCTGCCGGTGCCCCTCACTCCCGACCCGCAGCCCCTGCTAGCCCAGCCCTGGGCTCCCCCCAGCCCTGCCGGTGCCCCTCACTCCCGACCCACAGCCCCTGCTAGCCCAGCCCTGGGCTCCCCCCAGCCTTGCCGGTGCCCCTCACTCCCGACCCACAGCCCCTCCCTTCGGGGGTCTGTGGGGTCTCAGGCTTGCTGGGCTGAGAACTCCTGTCATTTATTCCTGCAGGGCTCTGTTGGGGGCCGGCCTCGCCCAGCCTGGGGGCTCTGCCTGGCAGCCCCCCCCCCAGGAGCTGGGATGCAGCGGGGCGGGCGCCTGTCCCTGAGCTTCCTGCCCCCCCAGCAGGTGGCGCTCTACGGGCGCGGCCGGGATCTCTTCACCTTTGTCACCGTGGCCTCGTCCCACATGATGCGGACGCTGCAGAGACCCCGCAAGAGCCGCCCTGGGAAGCGGCGGGTGAACCACCGCCGGTTCCTGCACAACCAGATCAGCAGGTGGGAGCCCTCGGGAGCTCGCGGCCCCTTGGGCACTGCTGGGGGGAAGCTCACAGCCCCTTGGGCACTGCTGGGTGGAAGCTTGCAACCCCGTGGGCACCGCTTGGGGAAGCTCACAACCCCTAAGGGCACTGCTGGGGGGAGTTTGCAGCCCCTCCGGGCACTGCTGGGGGAAGCTCGCAGCCCCTGCAGGGCACTTTTAAATTAAATTATAAATTAATGGAGATATCCTATCTCCTAGAACTGGAAGGGACCTTGAAAGGTCATCGAGTCCAGTCCCCTGCCTTCACAAGCAGGACCAAGTACTGATTTTGCCCCAGATCCCTAGGTGGCCCCCTCAAGGATTGAACTCACAAACCTGGGGCACCAGGGTGCTCAGAGCACCTCAGGGCATTGCTAGGGGGGAGCTCACAGCCCCTTGGGATACTGCTACAGGGAAGCTCGCCCCTTGGGGCACTGCTACAGGGTAGCTCGCAGCCCCCTGGGGTACTGCTGTGGGGAAGCTCGCAGCCCCTCAGGGCCCTGCTGGGGAAAGCTCACAGCCCTTCTCTTCTCTCCCCAGGCAATTTGCTGACATCGAAGCCTCCACACACCGGCTGGCTTCCTCCATCCTGGCCCAGGAGGCCCCAAGGAACCCCGCGCCCCCCAAAGAACCCCAGCATCCTGGCCCAGAGCCTCCCGCCCCAGCTGCCAGCTCCTTCCTGGGCGTGGCTGAGGCCTTCGTGGCCCCAGAACCGGGGCCTGGCTGGGGCCTGAGCGTGGCCTCCCTGACCCCTGACCCCGGCGACCTCTTTGACCCCATCACTGGCCCGGAAGATCCGGGGCTGCCCCCCAGCTGGGCCCCAATTACCCACAACCCCCTGGAGCCTAGCGAGTGTCCCCTCTCCTGGGACCCCCTGCCCACCCTGGGCCCGGACGGTGCCCCCCTCTGGGCCCCAGATCCCCCTGGCTACCTGCCCCCCATCTCCCCGGGGTACCCTGTTGGAGTGGCGCCAGGGGGGTGGTAACATGGCAACCCTGTTCCTCCAGCCGCAAGCTCCTCCCTCATCCCCACCCCTCCCCCTCTGCAGGAAGTGGGGGACCCCACCTGGTGGGCACCCCACAAGTGGATGCAGTGACGAGCCCCAGATCTGAGCTGACATGGTGGGGGGCATTTGGAGACTGCCAGGATACCCTGATCTGGGGAGGTCCCCTTGAATTTGGGACTACGCCTAAAATTCAGGGGTGCCACGTTGATCTGGGGGAAATCCTCTTGAATTTCAGTGTGTTGCCTTACATTTGGGGGTCACCCTGATCTGGGGGTATCCCCTTGGATTTTGAGGGTGTCTCCTTACATGTTGGGGTGTCAGAGATGGGGTGTCTCCCGGATTTGGGATTCCCACCATGCACTTGGGGGGGGGCTTCTGAGGTGGGCCCATCTCAGGGTGCAGTCTGGTTTTGGGGTGTCCCGCCCTGTGGGGGGGCATTGTAGCGCTCTGCAGGTTTGGGGGGATCTCTGACGTGGCAGAGTGGAGGGGGGCCCCCATGTCACCCCAATAGTTGCAAGGTGAGGGAGGGGCCCCCTCTTTTTGACCCGCCCCCACCCCCCCGAAGCTGAGCCCCCCCTGGTTAGCAGCAGGCAGGCGGGGGAGCCCCCCAATAGCCCCCCCCAGTCCCGTCTGTGTCTAATAAACTCGAGGCCGATCCCTGCCAATCGGGGCTTGTTGTGCTTGAATTTCCGTCCAGCCCCCGCCTTAGGGGGCGGCGTGGGGGGGGGCTGGCAGAGAACCCCCCCCGTGAGTGAGTGCCCCCCCCGGGCCCCAGGTCTGACTGCGCAGGCGCCTCCCCCGACCTCTGAGCGCGAGGCCCCCGCGCACCCAGCCCCCGCCCCCTGGGCGGTGTCCAGAGTCACAGCGGGGGCGGGGCTTCGGGGAAACGGTTGGCGGGAAGGGGCGGAGCTTCGGGAACGCTTTACGGGAAGGGGCGGGGCCCTACGCAGTTGCCCTCAGCGCCTGGGCCGGGTCGGAGGGGGAGTGAGCGCGGGTGGCCCCAGGGCCAGCAGGATGCGGCGGACACTCGCTTCTCGGGCGGTAGGTGGAGCCGCCCGCGCTCGCTGTGCGCCACGCGCGGGCGAAGGGGGGCGGGGCCAGCCTAGGAGCTTCGGGGAACGGTTGGCGGGAAGGGGCGGGGCTTCGGGGAACGGTTGGCGGGAAGGGGCGGGGCTTCGGGGAAAGGGGCGGGGTCTGGCTGCAAGGCCGCGGGGGGCGGAGTGAGAGGCGCAATAAACGCGTGTGACGTCATAAGTGCGACGGCCGCTGCGACGTGCCTAGAGTCTAGTTCTGGCGGCGGCACGAGGTGGCGGGCAGCGCGGGCCTCTCCGCAAACACGAGTCAGGCTGCGTCTACACTGCCGAGCCGCCCCCCCCCCTTTCCCGGCTGGCCCAGAGGCCGGCTCAGCTGCCTCGGGCTTGTGGGGGGGCTAAAGACACCCATGTAAATGTTGGGGCTCAGGCGGGAGCTCGGGCTCTGAGACCCTCCCCGTTGGCGGGAGCACAAATCTACTGGGCAATTTGACAGCCCCGCAGGCGGCACGGGCCTGCGTCTGGCTGCTGTGTAGACCCACCCTTCGATTCGGCGCGGCCGGGCTCGTTTTGCTCTGTAGACGGCAGTAAGGCTGCAGCGAGCTGAGGGTGACTTGCACGAGCTATGCCTGTGGTGCAAGGCTTGCTTGAGCGTTTGCGAGGTCCGTGCCTTATATTTGAAGCGCCCCCCCATAACGTATCCCCTACCCCTCCGCCGGTTCTGGGTCTGACTTCTTCCAGGCTTCACCAAAGCCGGCCTGAAATGTTGGTTTCTTCTCCCAGGCCCCACCCAGTGTCAACAAGAAATCACTATGTCCGTGCCTGAGGGTAGTGACACGCAACACCCCCTTAACCTCTCGGAGTGCTTTGCCAAGCTGTCCTGGTCCCCCACTTTGGCTGGGACATGGGTGCAGATAGCCATCATCAAGAAAGGGAAATCAAACCTGGTCGACAGCTCCTTTGCTGGGCACATCTGTGTCCAACAGATGGTTCATCGTGACGAACGCCAGCAAAGCCATTGCAGGGAATTTGAAGATTGTGAATGAGATGAATGATAGCAAGTGTCTGGCTTCCATCCATCTGAATGTAACAGGTAAGTGCCATGGGTCGCAATTTCAGGGGTAACCGCACCTTGGATTTCCCCTGGGCCTCTTAGAGGGCACGAATGTCAAGTTTCCAGCTTCCCAGCCGTCCCCTCTCACAGGTGGAGGCCTGCATCTGTCTCCCTCCAGCCTGGGGGGTTGGGTTTGCAAGGCCTCTGAACGTCGCTGTGAGTTCCCAGCACATCGGATCGGGGTCCACCCCCGTGCTTTGCTTTTCTCACGGTGCTGTGACAATGTACACCAGGTACCATCCCGCTGCAAAGCAAAGCACATTTAGTCCTAGTGTTATGCTTATAAGCAGCACACAGGATCTTTTTCAGGGGACAAGGCAATATGCCATGTTTATTGAAAATACAACAGTTCAATCACACACACACACACACACACGTCCTGCAGATGGCCTTATATTTACTGTTAGAGAAGGAAAGAAGGAGCAGGCGGATTGAGTAAATGGATACCTTTACTGCAAAAACAATGAGGAGTCCTTGTGGCACCTTAGAAACTAACACATTTATTTGGGCATAAGCTTTCGTGGGTTAAAACCCACTTCATCAGATGCATGGAGTGGAAAATACAGTAGGAAGATGTATATAACAGTACACGAAAAGGGAGTTGCCTTACCCAGTGGGGGGTCAGTTCTAACGAGACAATTCAATTAAAGTGGAACTGAGCTATTATCAACAGGACGAAAAATCACTTTTCTAGTGGTAATTGGGGTGGCTCATTTCAAATAGTTGACAAGAAGGTGTGAGTTACAGTAGTAGGAAATTAGCATAGGGAAATTAGTTTTTAGTTTTTGTAGTGACCCATCCACTCTTGTCTTTATTCAGGCCTAATTTGATGGTGTCCAGATTGCAAATTAATTCCAGTTCTGCAGTTTCTCATTGGAGTCTGTTTTTGAAGTTTTTTGTTGTTGAAGAATGGCCACTTTTAAGTCTGTTATTGAGTGTCCAGGGAGATTGAAGTGTTCTCCGACTGATTTTTGAATGTTATAATTCTTGACATCTGATTTGTGTTCATTTATCCTTTTACGTAGAGTGTCTGGTTTGGCCAATGTACATGGCAGAGGGGAATTGCTGGCACATGATGGCATCTATCACATTGGTAGATGTGCAGGTGAATGAGCCCCGGATGGCGTGGCTGATGTGGTTAGGTCCTATGATGGTGTCCCTTGTATAGATATGTGGACAGAGTTGGCATTGGGGTTTGTTGCAGGGTTTGGTTCCTGGGTTAGTGTTTTTGTTGTGTGGTGTGTAGTTGCTGGTGAGTGTCACGGAGTATGGGGGGACTCAGGGCCCTGCACCCCCGGCGTCCT